GATAGATACACTAAATCTAACACTAGACGATTTAGCAGGAAAGGGGGTCTTGAAAGGGGAATGTTAAATGGTTTAAGGCTTCTTTATGGGAGTCATTTGTACTCTTATGTATATTTGAACAATTTTTAGCATCATGTTTGTGTTTCTCTGCTGGTAATGAACAAATTTGATATTGACCAACATTGGATCAAACTTTACCTACTTATGTTAAGGCATGTCAATTTTCAAGATTGGATTTTTATGGTAAAACCATATCAAAAAAGGTCTGTGTCAATCCAGGGAATACATGTGTTTCTCCCCGTAAAAGAGAGAATGCAGCTGTTTATTTGTATTTGGAGTCTGGACGGAAGAAAAACACACGCAGGCATACACAACTATAAAAAAGAGAGTAGCTAAGGACCTAAGCCCAAGTAGTTTTTGGGAATGAGGATGGAGGGCCAAAAACCTAACGGGGCTTGGGCAATTGAATTGGGTCATTTAACATTTTGACTTTCCCATGCCTCACTGCGGAATGCGTACCACTTTAGAAAAAGGCAACGATTCCATATGCACAGTCCATCTCTCGTTCTGCTGCTATGGAAGTGGTGTGTAGGCCTATGCTCTCTATCTCAACCAGAACCTACAATTCGTCATTCCTGACGAAGAAAGCGTCCTCGGAATTCACTAAAAGTTGATTTCTTGGGCTTCAATTCTCCTACCAAGATAGTATCTTTTCCGTTTCGAATCTGAATATGTCCCTCTTTCTGTTCCTTCACTTTTATAGTTTGATGGTTTTGATACATTGTTTATGTTTGTTCGTAATGGATGACAATCGGTTTGTTTTGGTAATACGGCTCTCGGTTGAATGGAGGACCACTTAATGCTATCTCTGCGCTTTTTTTTTGGTTTCCCAAACCGGTATCCGGGACTTTGCCGACTAATCCGGACCGATCCGCGTCGCGCATCTTGGAAATGGTAAATGAGTCTCCCAACGAAAACTGCTGTGTACACAAAATCTCGAATTCAATACTTTGTTTAAGCTAGAACAAGCCACTTATCACTTGATCCAACTCCTCGTCGATTATCTCTGTGCTTTGCTTGGACGTAATTAAGCTTAAGCATTTTTGTTTTTGTTTTTGTTTTTCGTTTTTCGTTTTTCTTTATTTTTCGTTTGTTTGTTTGTTTCCTTTTTTTTTTTTTTGGGGGGGGGGGGGATTTGTTGGTATTATTTTCATCTCTGAAGAAAAGCTACTTCATCTTTAAATGAATAAACTAACTTGATAAGGCTCTCTTCGCGGGGGCATACATTGAGACTTTTGTCATCGCCAGATTTCTTGAATGCATCCATTGGCAAGATATTGAAGGTGTGGATGTATTATTAGGTTGATATGGAGATCAGAGGTGTCCCAGCACTTTGATTTTTGGGGGACATTGTATGGAAATGAGCAATACAAGGGAGTACCTTCCACCTATATACTCTTTACATGCTTTCTGTTAAGAAGCCAATTTCCTTATCTGATAAATGTGCCATTAGCAATTGAGAAGTAAACATAACTACCCTCGATCTTGTTTGATTTCTTTGCCTCTATCCGTGATTATATGAACCAGCAGGCATATATAAGGACCGGACCAGGATCTATAAGAGCGTCATGGAACTGTTCAGAAGCAGCGTCAGCCTCCAACCAGACAATCTATGGTGGGAGAACCCAGAAAGATTGATGATGGCTTAGGAGAAGAAGGATGGTGGTAAACCTGCTAGTTATCTATTGTAAGACTGTAAATTCTTTGATTATTAAGTATTCCGTGATTCTAGTGTTTACATTTTGAACCACCATTAATCCCTTTACTACAAAAACTTCATCTAACTGATTCTGTTCATATGGTATAAAACAAGTTCTAAGTAACCTCATTTGAACAGTCATTGGAAAGCTATATTAGCATTCAAAACATTAAAATATATACCTGTCAATATTTGAAATAAGTTGGTCAAATTGTTACAATTGAAAAGATGGCTGAAAATATAGAATTAGGACTTTTATGCTTCAACCTTTTCCGATTAATTTGTTTACTTTTCTCCTTCTTCTTTGCATCAGTACGGATCATACATTGTAAAATTTAGAAGTCAAATGTTAGACTTTCTGATTCTTCAACTTTGCATGTCAGGTGGCTGAACATATCTTCAACCACAATCCATGTTTGCTGCTGATAAGCTTTATCTTTTGTAAACGTATCTTACATTGAACTGGTCAGAGAATCTTTAATTTCCTGATATATCATATGACA